TCGAACTGATGTATTTACGTACGGATTTCTACGTTGTTACTCACTGACTCGAGTAACTTAGGATCTTAACTATTGCCGAGATTAAACTATAAAATTCTGTAAACTCCACGCAACAGTCTAAAGCCTAGCTCTAATACATCAGAGAACAACGGAAATACACATCCTTCTCATCAAAATAATTCCATCTAACTACGAGCTGAATTAATCTTGACAAAGTGTTGTCGACTGCACCTCATTATAATATATGTATTTCTAACAAACACAGATAGGCGGTTGTTAGAAATGAGGAAAGGACTGAAAATGAAAAACTAAGGACAGCCGATTTCCAGAAAATCTGTTAGAGCACTTTCTATGTGTAGCTATTAAAAATACGATTCATAATATTTTGACACTAGCTAAATTGAAAGCTCTCATTTGACTCACTAACTGCTGTGATATCTTTTGCTGTCCTTAATTACAATCGATTAATTGGAAACTTATCATTCGGCTTTACATCATAAATCCCTTGGTGGTGTACAGTAGTCACTAACCTTAAGGTAGTGTACTACCAGAGAACTCTAACTTGTTTGTAATGGTGGTAAAAAAGCATTGTTGAAGAATTGCAAACTTAAATTAAGTAGTTGCCTACGATTTCAGTTAGTATGTAGTTTAATTTTACCAATGATAACAACTGTTCTTTTGAGTTCATTAACGTAAAGACAGTTTCCAACAATCAACATAAAAATAACATTTTAGAAAGCAAGTGAAAAATCATCAATTAGAAATGAATTCTGCTCAAATCTAGACTTGATTAGAAATAGTCAAGCGATGGAACCGAAAGATAACTTCGTTCATCATTTTCATGGAGAATCGTAAATATTAGTGTTATTGCCTGTTTCGGAATTAATTGAAAACTAACCTTGAATTCAGTTGGACCAAATCCTTCCTTACAAAATGGTACATGTAACCAGTTAGCTTACATCACTACTCCGCAGGGAACAACAGAAATCCTCAAAAACCCAAAATGATGAGATTGGTAAATACTAAACAATGACCACAATATGGATAGATGCTTTGAAAAGAGCGGCAGATGATTAAAAGTGCGATTTGATTTCAAGCTTGAGGTATGGATACAAAGTAACATAATCACTAGTAATGGGATTCGATAGATAGGTTGTGACATTTGCAAAGTTGGTCACATTTATGCAAACTACGATAAGTAAGTCTCTATTAGCCACCTAAGCAACCTTCCTATACATTTAAATGTACTAAAATCACGAACTGGCACTGTAACATCTTTTGGACGCGGAATTTAGCAGATGATGAAATAAGCGATAAAAACATACGCTTTATTAAACTCACAGTGCAATTCTTCGGAATATAGACTAAATGATACACTAAATTAATGAATTAATACCATGATAGCATAAATTGAAGGTAGCAAAAACATGATTCTCAATACATAAATCAAAACGGACAGTGGGTGATAGTGAATCATATATTTTTGTAGCATAAAGCTAACGATATGAAAGCTGGGACCAAAACCTTAACACTAATGCCTAACCGTAATCTAAAAAAAGCCATTGGATATCGAAAAGTATCATTCTTTTTAAAGCATTGTCTTTTTGAGTAGGGATGGACGGTGGCTAGCAGTGAAAAATAAGACGCGTGTTTCGTCCTAAACATCAATGGGAAGATTCAAAAAACCAATACATGTAAATTAAAATTCACCTGATTGCATAAGTCAGTGGTTATCTGGACTCAGTAGATGTCGCGTCGGCGTGCGAAGAAATTGGTATTAAAATCGAGTTCCAGAATGAACATTAACTCTGGCACCCAGGTATATCCAAATAACGAGTCCCAAATGAGACGAAACGCACATCTTTCATTACACTTGGAGCCAATATTCATCTCTGCTTATAATGCGTGTGACTTATTATTATAAGCTTTGTTCAATATTATATTTTTGGTACAATATAGAATTCTTAGCACAAAGTATTTGAACAAGTTTCCTTTTCTTATTTCTTGATCTACCCCTGCGATAAAATATTGATTGGTCGCCAGTTAGATGTTGGCAGTTCAGAAATAGACATCTGTTTAATGTTTATTCTGTTCGATGCATACTGCCAACAGCCACAATGTCTTTGATTGGTCTCTTTTGTAACTTGTACAGCGAAGAGTCGTGAACTTTTCACAAACGCATCAAAATAGGTCATACCAATTAATTGACGTAATGATGAGTTAAAACAAACAAGAAAACAGATAACTTAACGAAATATCTAGATGGCAAGAACACATAGGCCTGATATTCAATCGGGCCGCTTTGGAACATTATCGAGTTAATACACATGGAATTCACATACTCCAAAGAAAATAAAATGGTCAATTGGAGGCCCAAACAACCGATACGAATGAAATATACACGACTTTCCATTATTCATTTGAATGACCAACAGACCCAACACTATTCACTGTTTATTCTTGTCCAAGATGCACGTCTTCAACTTACTTTTTATCTGGTTAGCGTTTTTTTAGCGAGTTAGTTTTTTACGGGATGAGCTCCCTAACCTGATGTCCAACTCTCCTCCTTTATCCGGGATCGGGAACGGCAGTAGCCCCAGAGGGCCTCTGAGTGGAGTCTCCAATAGTGAACATTAAAAAAAGGAAACAAATTTCGTAAACTGCTATATATTTCAATGGTTATGATCATAAGTCAGTTGAAGCTAGACCATCATGGAAAACCTGGAAGCACTGAACGGCCGTTTCGTCCTATTGTGGGACTGCTTAGCAGCGCGTATTCACGACCGAGATTCAAACCACGATCTTAACCATTGAAATCACAAAACCCACCTGATGCTATAGATTTATTGATCTTTTTACACAGAACGGAGAGTAGATTAAAACAAACAAAACAAAAGAAAGAAAAAAGAAAACGAGAAAATCACAAAACAAAATCATTTAAAATAGAATCATTTATATGAAAGCAGATAATTAAAATGAAGAGAAAAAAAGGAGAAAAACTGAGAGCAAGGAAATAACAATTTCTGTATAATTGAATGTGTATTGTGCGTATTTTCATACATATAAGATCAAGGTAAATTTCATTGTGCACTAAAGAAACTAAATAATCCATCAGTAGTTTTGTGTATATGTATGTGTGTGTGTGTGTTTGTGTAAACAGTAAGGTGATTGAGACATCAATATATAAACTATAAACGAGAAGGCAAATGAAGAAAGAAAGAAAGAAAGAAAGTCCCTTGTCAACGTGAACATGCAATTTCAGTAAAATAATTTTGTAAATCTGTTATAGTGAATTCAAGTTGAATCCCTGAATCTGGATAACATTGTTGAATTAAATTACTAAAACGTAAACATTGTGTAATAAATTCTGTTTGTATTGATCTCCATACAACCTAAAATTTAATAATGAAAACTAAAATAAGAATATAAATATGTTTGAAGTTTTAAAAGTGATTACATAATAGAAAAATATCAATCTTTTCAAGAGAAATTAATTGAACTCTGTACGACAAAACTTTCAATGAATCAAGTAAATACAGTCATCATATCGATCAGACTAAATAAGCAAGATATTGACATCTGTTCTTCACGAGCCTTGGTTAGGCGTCGAAGAATTCTTCTTCGCCTATTACTCCCAATGGAGCATAGGCAGCCGACCAGCATTCTCCAACCCACTCTGTCCTCCGAATTCTTTTCTAGTTCCATCCAATTCTTGTTCATTTTTCTCATGTCTATCTCCATTTCTCGGCGTAATGTGTTTTTTGGTCTTCCTCTTTTCCTTTGACCTTCAGGATTCCATGTGAGGGCTTGTCTTGTGACGCAGTTCAATGCTTTTCTCAATGTGTGTCCTATCCACTTCCAGCGCTTCTTCCTGATTCCTTCCTCCACTGGGATCTGGTTTGTTCTCTCCCACAGTACGTTGTTGCTAATAGTGTCCGGCCAATGGATCCGAAGTATTTTGTGTAGACAATTGTTAATAAACACCTGTATTTTCTGGATGATGGTTTTTGTAGTTCTTCAGGTTTCTGCCCCATACAGTAGAACTGTCTTGACATTTGTATTGAAAATCCTGACCTTGGTGTTGGTTGACAGTTGCTTTGAGCTCCAGATGTTCTTCAGTTGTAAATATGCTGCTCTTGCTTTGCCAATCCGCGCCTTCACATCTGCATCAGATCCACCCTGTTCATCAATGATGCTGCCCAAATACGTAAAGGAACATTCCATGTACCTAAATAAATGGTCGCTCTTGTTGTCAGAAGGGGCATCGGCCTCGTAACTTCCGAAGGAATTCGGCTTTCATCATGAGGCGTCATAATTCTTCTAAATGAAGACCTTCTGACTCCCATGGCAGAGTTTAAAAGATTTGAATAATTTTTCTGGTTAGCGTTATTTTAGCGAGTTAGTTTTCTACGGGATGGGGACGCTAACCCCATGCCCAACCCTCCTCCCTTATCCGGGCTTGGGACCGACAGTAGCCCCCGGAGGGACTCCAGGCGGAGTTGTCGAAGAAGTATTGAAGCTAATATTTTAGACACTATATTAGTCGTAATGATTCCTCTATGCTTGTCACAATAGGACTTTTGTCCTTTCTTAAAAACTGGCACAATCAGTGATTGAGACCAGTCAGATGGGATTGCGTCCAGTTCCCAAATTCTACCTGAGACCTCAGTTAATCTCACTGCTAATACTGAACCACCATCTTTAAAAATCTCAGGAGTAAACCTATCAGGGCCTGCTGTTCTCCTTCGCTTCAGATTTCCTATGGCTTTTTCAAATTCGTAAAGAGACGGAGGACCTACATTAACTTGCCATCCAGGTTGACTGCAGATCGTGGAAAAAACGAAGTGTGGCTGATGGCCAGTTGAACTGATCCCTAAAGTGTACTGCCCATCGATTCGATCTCCTGGATTGAGAAGGTATAATATGTCCATCTTTCTCTGAAACTGTTTCGCTAACAGTCGGTTTCCTAATACTGGTTTCCTTAACGAGTCTGGACAATTGTCTGCTATTACCTATTGCCGCTGTCTTTTCGCTACCCACCACTGTTCACGATCATTGCGTAGGCTTCTTGTCAGTTTGCGTTTAAGCTGACTCCGCTTTTCGTTATGTTCAGAACCAGATGAAATGAATTTCCGAGCATCTATCAGTGCGGTAGATGATGCTGAGATCCAGTGTTTCTCCCTAACGTTGTGGTTTACCGTACTAGCAGATATCACTGCTGTTTCCACAATTTTTGGGATATCATCAACCAAGAGAGTATAACCAAACTCAAGTAATTGTCTTTTGGGTGCAGCGGTCACATGTTTAGGTCAACAAGACCATAAATTTTGTCAGGTATTCCATGAAAAAAATAATCCTTCCATGATTTTAGAAAGCGAAAAGAGACAATAGCATATAAATATCATTGAAAGCAACGTGAGATTACATTGACCAACCAAATTTATTTGTCATTTTCAGTTTATGTAATAAAGAATCATAACAAATAGTTTAGTTTTACAATGCATTTAACACAATTGTATTATAAAGATAAATGAAGAGAAGATGAATAAAAATAGATATTGAATGTGACATAAATATTTTATAATTTGCATCGATACATCCCCATCTATATCACAGCAACCATTAAGTTGGTGTTGTTGCTGATTCCCATTTAAACCATTTCAAATACATAATAGAAAGAAATGGATAGTCTTTTCAAGTTAGATATCATAATTATTACTATGATTAGTGTTAATAAGTTTGTTAACTTTTGTTTCTCTCTTTTACGCACTTTTACACACACACACACATACACACACATAAACGGATACACATTGATTATCATATATGATGATAGAAATTATGGGCTATGGGGATAATAAATAGAAAATACACAAACACATATATACTTACAGGGAATAAATTTTCTTCATCAGATAAATGTTTTTCAACTTTTTTACATAAACTTTCCAGACCATGTTTTACCTTAGATTTTATGCGATCATAAGAGGACAATTGAAATAAAGAGGGATAGAAAGAAAGAAAGAAAAGTATACTTCAATGTTTTATTTATACAAGGTTATGTAATATTATTCAATTAGATATTTTACATTACTTGGGACTTATGTAATTATTAATAAATGCCTGGTATGACCGAGGGTGGAGAGAGTCAGCTCTCCGTCTCAAAATAACCTCACATGGATAACGCGTATACAGCCACTGACTTATCGTGATGAGGGTGTTGTTTACAAAATTGAGAGGACGAGAAATGAATGTACAGCGCTATAACTGAGTTGGTGGACACATAAGATCCCAATTGGTTGATCACTGGGTGGTGATCAATGTCATGCTTGTCTAGTCCTTATTAGTGCAGATCGAATGCTATTGATCATGTTGCAATGTGGCCTCTGACTGTGAAGCTGGGTGACACGAGATCGAATCCGCCAGGGACCACCAGTTCCTTCAAGATTACAGGTACACCTTGCTGACGAGTGCCAAGTAGCACGAAACCCGGGTCCAGGGTTTCCTGTTGACTACCTCCAACCACCATCTAACACTTAAGATCCACATAGAGCAGTTGGTAAACTCTCATTTCAAACCAATCGTGCACATGGACTCTTGTATCCTGAAGGAACAAATAGCGTATGAACCACTTATTGGTCACTGGCTATCGTGGAACTGTATCTCTTAACGTTGCTCTATTGCCTTGTGCATCAGACCTTTAGGTCGAAGGCTCGAGGTATGGGATGTCTAAGAAAACCACCTGCTTCGATTTGGGCACACATACACACACAAATCAAGTGACTTGTGTGGGGCATATGTATTCGGTGCCCCTTTGTAGCAATATTTATATGTCCAAATAAATAACGATTTAATAGTATTAAGAAAATACAGCATATTTATATCTTCTTAAATGATATTATTTATGATGAATCAATGAAGTAATGTAATGAATATCTCATAAAAACAGCTAAAGTTTACTAACAGTTCAAATGATACAACTATTTTGTTTGTTTTGTTTTTGATGCATTATATGACTGAATTTATTATTTATTTAATTGAACACAGGAATATTGGTATAAGGAGGCACCAAACAGATATGCAACATAAATCATTCGATTCGTATGTGATGGCTTGGATACTTCCTGGATGCCAAAACCAAAAAAGGAGGTTTTCTTAGGGGCCACACCCGGAGTCTTTAACCTAAGGGTCTGATCCATAAGGCAGTAGAGCAACATCAGGAGATGCAGACCCATGGCAGTCGGTGACCAACGATTGGTTCATACGAGATTTGTTGCTTCAAGATACTGGAGCCCATGTGCATCATCGGTTTGGAATAAGTGTATTCCAAGTCCCCTAGGTGGATTCTCCGTGTCCACCAACCCGATTAAAGCGCTGGATAATCGCTTTTTGTCCTCTCATTTCCGTAAACAACACCGCTGCCACAAGGCAGTGAGTAGGACTGCCCCGGGCAGTGGTTGTATGCACATGTCCATGTGAGAGCATTTTGAGAGGGAGAGCTGACTCTCCCCACCCTCGGTTGTACCAGGGCATTTGGGGGCATGAGATCGATTATATTCGTCTCTCGATTCTTTTAAACGGTAAACAAATGACAAAAAAATTTGTCAAAGTGTAGTTTTCAACTCAAGATTTCCAGTGTTTAACATCGAAAGAAGTTTTAGTCGTATGCACACACATAGTTATGATGATTAATTATTTATTACAAATAAATCTAGAACAAGCAAGTTTAGTGCAAGAGTTACACAGTTAAAAAATAGGTAACTCAAAAATTTCTGACAATTCAAAAACACAGTGAGCTGACTCCACCTGATAGGAATTTAACACACTTGAGCTCATCCGATTAGAGTTCTAATTCAACCAATTGGAATACTGAGGCTCTATTCGCGGTTAGAACCTCTCTGACTAGTCTTAAAACCAGACAACCATCTTAAGTAAGTAATTCTAGATACTAACACTTATTTTATGGACTTGACGAAAAAGCGAATAGCAAACTCTCTTTATAAGTGAATAATTTATACTCTTATATAATTATATAATGAAAATTATGATCAATCTGTTATCATATCAAATAAAGAGGTGGGAGAGAGAAAAAAAGTGATTAGAAGACAAAGTTCTTCTCATACTAAAAGTTCCCAATCAACACTGATACTGATGATAATGTCTATAATGACAGCGAAAATTTCACAAATAATTGGGCTCGGTTAAAAACACACACACTTCAAACAGATCTTCATTATGTCAGACTATTTCTAGTAAACATCTCTGATCATCTAATGTTATGCACTTGCTAATAGTCCAATAGAAATCATAACTGATAATTCAGTCAGTCAGTCAACAAAGTGAAACTTCGCACGTACGTACATCAGTTCGAGTTGCTATACCACATTAGCACAAAGGTACAATTGTCAATTCAAATCCCACAGTGGTAGAGGTAGTAAAAGTATAAGCAGTAATCAGAAAGATTAAGGTTTGAAGATATTATTCAAGGAGTATAGTCCAGTGAAATAAATTTGGAAAGAGAAAAGAAAGGGACATGAAGAATTCAGAAGATTAGAATTTGAGAGAATACAAAGAGTGGATGCACTTGCGGCATTGCAAACGATTTTGAGCCATGTCATTCAAGGTCTCTAACCATCGGTTGCTATCGTTTCGCGATCCCAACCCGGTAGTCCACACCTACCAACGAGGGTCAGTCCACTTGACAGATTTGTGCCATGCTTTGGTCTGGCCGCCTCTAGCTTTCTTCCAACCTACTCCTACACTATAAAACATTGCACGTCGGGGCAAATATTATACGTATATAAAAAATTAAAATAATTTCTATCAAAGAAACACACACACACACACACAAACGTTGTTCATATTTTTAACGAATTATTATGAAATAAACTATTATTTATGGATTTTTTCTTTCGTGTTATTCACCTACCTCTTTTCCAGGATATTCTTTGATAACTTTACGTAATTCTTGTTTACTAAAAGCAAATTGATAACTAACCACTTCAGATCGTACACCAGCATCCAAAGCACTTTGAACATTTTCAAAAAAGCTCTTTAAAATGATGTATAGAAAAAATGGAATATAATGTATGAAAAAACAACAATGAATAATAAGTAAATAAAGTAATACTTAGATAGAAATAGTGCTGATAAAGAATATTTATGGCTCAGTAAAATGATTTTGGAGATGTTGTGTTCCTTGTACTGGATCAATAAGTCGTGAAGTTTCTAATATTCTCTTCATAGACAACATGATCATGAAGTATTTGAAAGAGAAGTAAGCTGTTAGACTCTCGACAAATGACCAAAAGCATATTTTACTGACATGGAATCTTATGAGCTAATGTAGACAACTATGGATATGAGTTCGATTGAGAAAGTGTTGAATTATAGGATAGAGAAAACAAATGCTTATGATCAACAATAAACCAAATATCGGGTCAACGGAACAAGGAGTTGATCAGCTGCTGAAAAATTCGAATACAGCACGAAATGATCTTAATTAGATGAGTATTGAAAATACAGTTGCATGTCGAACGAGAATAAAAGTTTGGAGTTCGATACGCGGATGCAGGGTTGTCGATGCACATTGCTGACGAGCCATGTGATAGGATGAAACGACATTTGATGCTTTCAGGTTTCCAAAACGGTCTAATATCAGCTCACAGTTTAAAAGCTACAGAAATTCTATAGTCACCACATAAACCGATGCTGACAATCCTAATAAATCATTTCTTATTGAACTGTGTGCTAAAAACGTTGTTTAGAAAGACAACGAAAATTTCACAGCTAGACTATCTAATTCAACAAACAAGAAATATCAATTCTTACGTGTATAGAAGAACAAGTGACCTACATATTTGACCACCTCACATGAATAATGATGAAACAAGATAATTTTTTGTTCCAACATGACAAGTTCAAAAATATTAATACGTGTCTCACACTAATAATTTGTGTAGTCTAATGGTCATGAACTATGATCTTATTGGTATATCAGCCTTTAGATGAAATCGATTGCAAAAAAGGCATTTACACTCAAATCAAACTGAATTTATCAATGATTGTTATAATTTGTAATTGTTTACTTGAGTCTGATGGTGTTTCGGTTTTAGAAATACTCGATACCACGACTGTAGCTGCCAGCTTGATACTACGTCGATCGCAATTATCAATGACGAAGACTGAATGGAATTATATTAACTGGAATACTTCCTCTCGGCACCTTCTTAATGCAATGTACTCTATCAAGACCTGTACTTGAAAGCTTCGAGTATCTGAATAGTTGTGTTAGTCTTTGTGGTGGTGTGGTGAATGAAATTAATCTACACATAATGACAAACTGATGTCAATGTGGCTGTAAGATGTTTGGTTTGTAACGATAACGCTGACAACAGTTTCACTCTAAGTTTGTAAAACTTGAGCCCTCCGATGTAGGGATTCTTGGCGACTATCTACGTTTGATTATATTTGGCTAACCTGGCTTTGCACAGATGGTACGATAAATTAACATTTCTGATAATAACCTTTAAAGCTTTACAGAGCAAACATAATAAAAAAGTATCTACAAAACGGTCGTGGGTGACCGGTCATAAGTAAACAATCGGCGAGACTCTAATTTATGGACGACCTTTGAACGAATTTTAAGTGACCTTGAGAAATATTAGCCACTCAGCAAACAGTCTGTATAGAGTAAAAATATATTATACAAAATCAAGGAAATAAAGTGAATACACTTCTTATATGTGGTTCAAAAACTTTTCAAGGTTAGGAAGAGGTTCAGAGGTTCTAGAATTCTAATGCATGCAATAGAGGAAATCATCTATACGGCTACAGAATACTCGGCCTCCGGAGCCATGATAAAGTCTCAAAAACTCTTTCAGCCTCGACCGCATAGCTTCAATATTGTTTATGTGCACTTTGGTTGCTGAGTACACAAAATGCTGCTTGTGGATAACGACACGATGCACATAACCAAGCCTATGTAAGAGTCTGTATGCTTTCCAATCATCCGTATATATTGTAGTACCTGGCTGCAAGCAGTGTTACTGGTAATTTTATGATCCAGTTCGCGATGATTGTCATAATTTGCCTCAGTTAGGATTTATATATGGGGTTTTCATCACGAACCGACATCATCTCGTCCATAAATTAGAGCCTCGCCAAACAATCTCTTGGATCCTATGGTCGATCGACAAATGCATGAATAAAAATTTATTTTCCTTTTCTTATTTATTTACTTACGCCTGTTACTCCTAATGGAGCATAGGCCGCAGACCAGCATTCTCCAACCCACTCTGTCTTCCGAATTCTTTTCTAGTTCCATCCGATTCTCGTTCATTTTTCTCATGTCTATTTCCATTTACCGGCGTAATGTGTTCTTTGGTCTTCCTCTTTTCCTTTACTTAGCCTTGAGGATTTCATGTGAGGGCTTGTCTTGTGACGCAGTTGGGTGTTTTCCTCAATGTGTGTCCTATCCACTTCCAGCGCTTCTTCCTAATTTCTTCCTCCGCTGGGATCTGGTTTGTTTTCTCCCACAGTAGGTTGTTGCTAATATTGTCCGGCCAACGAATCTGAAGTATTTTGCGTAGACAAGTGTTAATAAACACTTGTATTTTCTGGATGATGGCTTTCGTAATTCTCCAGGTTTCTGCCCCATACAATTTTTCTTTTCAGTTTGCACCAAAAAACTTTTTTTACAGTATACACAACACGGAAATCGCAACTGCCTATCAGCCTTTATTCCAAAATCATCGAAATTCAATGACTTGTTAACAAACACCTCCGTAGCTCCACATTCAAGTACTGAGTAATCATAGCTAAATCTTGACTAATGATTAATTAAATAATGCACGTTCACAGAGTAATATCGAGAGAATTTTGTACAGTATTAAGAAATAGATATTTATTGTGTCAACTGGAAGTAAGTCAATTTACGGAACAACAGTACTGTGTATCAAAATACATTGTACATAGATACGTCACCCACTATCAAGAATACAAAGAAAGCCAAAAGTCTAATCTTGCTTCAACCAATGATGATATAAGGACAAAACATAGGTATTAACGGAATTCTCACCATATCCATGAAAGTCAGCTATTCAGGGGTATTAGTTTCATAGTATTTGACTCGATAGTACATGCGAGATTTAAGAAATCAAAATGGTGACAATTAAAGAATTCCATTTACTTTGGTTGATCTCATATGTAAAAAGAGAGGATAATGTACTTCACAAACAATAATAAATAAAGAAAAGAAAATCAAATGAACTTACTGCTAATTTCTCTAATGGACGACCCATACATGTTTTTGTATATTCTTGTAAAGCTAAAGTATAACGATTCTTAGCATCTTGACGATAATCATCTAAGCTGGACATTTTTAAACGTCGAAGAATATCACAAAGACGATGATAATTTTCTAATATAAAGATAAAAAAGAAAAAAGAAAATTATAATAAATAACAAATAAACACAAGAAACTTGATTAAAAGCTTCTTTTTTGTCATTTTAAAGAAAATATGAGTTAACCAATGTATGTTCTTAAGACATATGAACTCAAATCTCTTCAGTATATAATAATATTAGATCCTGATCGGCAAAGATCACTTGTTTAGATCTATACATCTCACTATAAGAAATAACTATACTACTAAATTCAATGGAGTAGTAGTATTCAGATTACAGAATAAATAATTAGAATTAAGGTGTCACAAGGATAAAATCATATCAATAACAATTCATGAATCAATAAGGAGCATCCACCAAGTAATAATAATAACAATAATGCTGAAGATATATATAGACTGATGCAATGAGATAAATTAAAGCAGATAATGGTTAAATTGAATAATAATGGCAGACATAACCAGTAGGTTACAGTGTTACATGATTTGGTGAGTTTTTTAGTGAATTCCAAGCACTTGGATAATAATAATAATAATCAGTCAGTATCTTTAACATTATACCTGGTACCTTCAAATCACAATAGTTAGAACAGATTGCATGTTTTTGTGTCGAGATATGATGTGTAAATTGACCGTTAAACAGGACACATTTAAGAATATCTCTGGGAAACAAGAATCAATGAATTCATATTCCAAGAATGTTCAATGGAGCATTAAAAAAGAAATATCAAAATAAATAATAATGATGAATTTACCTAACTGGACAACTTCACCGGGTGTTTTCACACTTCTTGATGCAACTCGATCAATTTCAGTCATTAAACATCGTACTAATTCTCTATGCGCACGTTCTAGATCAACTAAACGTGAACTCTTAGCAAATACAGTCATTGAACATTCAGCGAATTCAATATAAGTGCGAACCATTGATAATACACCACATCGTACTTTTTTACACGGTTTGCTTGTTTTAAATGAAATAATTAGACGCTCCTGATGAAGAATTTTAAAAAATGCAAATCATATGATAACATATATAAAATGAATAGGTTTACTTACTATTTATACCATACATAAATAATACCTGACAGTTTAAACTAATGTTCAGAGTATGGTTAAAATTCGATGATTGCAAGTCACGTTCTCTCATCACTAAAACATCGTACCTCACAATAAGCAAAGATGGATAGTGGCTAGCAGTGGAATCCAGGACGAGCGTTTCGTCCTGCTTGGGACTCGTCAGCTGGACGCACCTGCATCTGAGTTGATGTCCACTCTGGGACTCGAACTCAGTACCGTTCGCTTCAAACGCAATCGCGTTATCCACTCAGCTACTGAATCCTGACAGTCACTTGCTTGTGCAATGTGGTGAAGTTTAATTCACTTGATATTGTTTTACTTGAATCTTCCCATTGATGTTTTAGGACTGAAATTGATCAGTCTTTGATTGGCATATGTGCATACTGTGCGTATGCCTCGATATTGCCTTAATTTACAAGCATTATAAGCAAAGATGGATAGTGACTGATTATCACAGTCCTAAATATCAATGCGAGGATTCAAGTAAAACAATATCAAGTGAATCGTAACAAATAGTTTAAATATGTATGCACTCAAGGTTTTTTTATCTGGATGGCTGAATCACAGCTCCAACCCCCGAGAACAAAAGGTTCGATCCCTGGTGATGTGAATTTGCACCGGTGAAAAGTTTCATACTACGATAGAACAGCTTTTCAATCGTTCCTGATTTTTACTGGTTGTTCAAATTAGATTGGTTTGTAGTGTTAGTCATAGAATTCAACTGTCCCCACAAACTTTCTTTATAGTAATAATCATGTGCTCACTAGCGACTAATTTGAAAAGGTAATTCCCGCAGTTCTCATAAGAAACTGTGACCAGAGATATAGGTAGTTTCGATCACAGAGTTAAAGTAAAAACTATGGTTTAAGTGAAGTAGAGATCAAAACTAAAACCTATGGGTCAATATCTGAGTGAGCTCTTATTGACTACTACATACTTTTAAGTCAAGGTTTAAGATATTTCCCTGAATCTGAAAACAATCAATCGTTATAGATTGATATCAACTTGGAAAAGAACAAATTATGAGAATTAGATAACTGTTTCGTCTTTAATTTCAAATTTTTCATCAGGGATCACCAACAAGCACGTTCAGAATCGGAAAAATAGGATCTCTATATGACTTTTTCAGTTAATCAATATCGAATCAACAACAACAAAAAAAAATAGGCAACAATATTGTTAGTAAATTTTTTTGTTCAGAAAATTATTACTTACAACAAGACGATTAAAAGCTCGTTTTGTTTCAATAGTAAGTCGTGATAAAAAATTTGCAATATATGTCATTGGAATTTTATCAGAATCTTGTGATTCTAATTGTAGTTGACTAGTATTGCCAATCCCACTACTAGAATTAGAATGATCCAAATTGGTTGTTGTGGTTTGTTGTGAAGGTGATGATAATAATGATGATGATGATGATGATGTAATTTCATTTTCTGTGATACGTGAAATTGTAATTAACAATGGCATAATCAATATAGCTTGTAATTGTTCACAATGAATGATTAAATTAAAAACATCTTGTTCAACACTATCGAATAAATGAACCATACAATCGAATAAAGTAGATAATTCATCGCCTTTATAATTTTTATACATAACGGTATTATGCTGGGAGAAAAAAAGAATATACATACACAGAGTGAGCGATCGGTACGTTTACGTGAGAATGATAATACTTTTTTAATGTGAGCGGTTAAATAAATAATCTATGATTAGGTGGGGGATGTGAGAGATGACATTCCTTACTTGGTTGGGGTCCGCGCGACTATCGTAACCAAGGCTTGGAGACTCTAGGTGACATGGCTCAGAATCGATCACAATAGCGTAGATGTATACACTCTTTGTCTTCCCTTAAACTATGAGATTAAAATCACTTCATATCTTTCTTTCTACGAACTAATTCTTTCTTTCTGTACTATATCCTTACATAAAATCTTTCCTTTATATATTACACCATTGAGTTAATTCCTTCTACGAATCCGGTGTTCGTCTTGCTGTGCTAATGAGGTGTGGCAACTTGAACCGACGCATGCATGTACCTGGTCCTACGATGTAACTGACTAACTGACATGCATACCATTTCACTATAACTATCCTCGTAAGAATTGCTATCATTGATTTTACGTTTCATATTGTTTTGGTTATATCAAGTAAAATAGTTTAGACAAAATGTCAATGACTTTATCAATAGCGAATATATATCTCATTTTGACCACCCATGGCTCTCTTTCAAATGACATATATATATATATATATATATATATATATATATATATATATATATATATATATATATATATATATATATATATATGTAAATAAGGAAACATTGCATATCCAGATAGTTGGTGATTTGGAATTATCAATACGTATCCCAGACACTTAAATCGATAAAGAATTACAGTTTCATTGAACAATTTTCTATTTTCCGCTTGTGATTTTATGCTTAACCTAAGCTTTATTTATCCCATCATTTAACAACATAACTATCCAAAAGAAAAAAGGGAGAAAAATTACCTCGGTAAAGAAGAATAACTCAAGACCTTAGTTTAAACACCTTTTTCTCATTGCCATCATACAAAGAAATCTCAGTTTAACATTCATAAAGTCAATGAGAATTATCAATCATTTCGAAAAAGTCTTATTCAATGTCCTTATGGTCTGTTAATTATTGTGTGATACGATCACCAATTAGAACAACGGTTATTGACCAGACCAATGACGCATAAACCAATACCAGCAGCCTAGAGTCAACTCCGAGTTCTCATTGGTCTACTGAGATATTGGCTTCTTGCCCAACCCAGACGGTTTAGTCCAGGACATAAGTTTTTGATGGAGTTTTGTTGTAGGACTTTCATTGTTATTCTGAACAACATCATCAACACAAATTTCAAATTAAAGTGAAGTGTTCGAATCTCTCCACATATTGTTCAAAGCTTTTCTTCTAACCTCGATGTTGATTGGTTACTTTTGAAGTTAAATCATTCCAGAACATCAGTATTAGTCTCCACTATATGGATCCTATATTTCAAACATACTTGGTTTATATACAAACAAACCAGACCTCATAATATCACAAAATAGAAAATAACATCTGTATTAAATCAAGCCAAAAAGTAGCGTTGATTGTGAGAGACTGAAACTAATAAATTGGGAATAACTTTAGAATAGTAAATCGTACAATAAATCAAACGTAAGCTTATAATAAAAGGAATATGAATATACATATAATATAGTTACTGAATAGTTATCCAAAAAGAATATATGTGATAACAGTTCATAAGTAATTCTCAACAGTTACCATTCCTTTATTTTTCGTTAGAACATACCACAAAGACGTTAATCACCGTGACAACATTAAAAGAAAACATATCATTACTGCTCTATCACAAGAATATTATTAGCATAGAAAGCATTGAATGTATACGTAGAACCAAAGAATTAAAACAAGATAGAGTGGTTCAATGGATCAAAATGTCTCATCCTACCAAGTGAATTTATGCGCAAGTATATAGAATCGTAGATGCTTATCGTCTATGACATAGGTGTCTGTTGATACTGATAGTAATCATGATCAATCAAACACAGTATAGCAACACAGAACAGGTTACAAAAACAGAAATATATGTAAGTCTATAGGTGTTCATAACTTAAATCACTCTATAGAATATAAATTTTCTTTAACAAATTGCAACCATTGGTTGGAGACCTTGAATAACATGGTTCAAAATCGTTTGCAATGGCGCAGGTGTATCCACTCTTTGTGTTCACCCTAATTCTAATCTCCTGATTCCTCCTTGTCTCTTTCTTTTCTCTTTCCAAATTTATTTCACTGTATTATACTCCTTGAATAACATCTTCAAACCTTAATCTTTCCGACTACTGCTTATACTCTTGCCGCCTCTACCATTATGTGATTTGAATTGATAATTGTATCTTTGTGCTAATGTGGTGTGACAACTCGGACTGATGTATGTACGTACGAAGTTCTCTACGTTGTTACTAAATGACTGATTGAAATTTTTAAAAAATCACTACAAAATGATCGAAGGAAGTGTTAGGACATACAATGAAACATATTTCCTTTAAAAAAAAGAAATGAAAATCTAGAGAAGTAAACAAGAGGAAAAAATGTTGTAGGTTAGGAGAGAGAGAAAATCAAATCACTTTTGAATAAGAACGTTGATATGCAAATTTCATTTCCGTTTGAAAATAGTGTATCATATTAAGAGAGAGATTTATTATTGTAATAAATCACTTTCTAGTTTTACTTGTGGTTTCTCATTAGTTGTAAAGGGAAAACAAAACAACCAAGTAAAACAATGAAACATACTTACTGACTTTTCAATTTGTGATGCATTCAAATGAAAACCAAAGAATTGATTTAAAAATGCTTGTTCTGTACGAATTAGAGTTAGAATTTTATCGAAACAACTATCAAAGATCTATTATTTAAAAAGAAGAAAATAAAGCAGGAAAAAAACGCGATTAAAAATAAACACATGAAATAATACAGCACTTGAATCGCTAGCACTGGTGACACATGAGGCAAAAGATGAGACAATAAAAGAACAATTAGTATTTGAAATAGAATAATTAGTAGAAAGTGAAGAAAAGTAGTGATCGTGGACTAAATAGTTTCACTTGCTGTTAAACACATGTATGCACTCGTAACTTTCAGTCACCTACTCCATGAAATGACATCAGTTGAAGAATCATCACCAGAAATCAATGAAGATTAATAAGGTCTAGTGGCAATATAACTATCCATATATTTCGATGTTATATCTGTTTACTTGGCCAATTGAATAAAATTTATTAAATTAAATCTCTCTACTGATAGGAATTAAAGTAGACATTTGAAATATTAAAAAAAAATTGAGTTCAAAAAAAGAGAAAGTTCATCCAACTTACAAAAAAAACTTACCGATTCAACTTGAGTTAAAAGATTTGAATCTAAATTATGTAATGACATAACACTTCCAACATCTGATGGTATATTCTCTAAGCGTTGAATTTCTTTAGCTGATACATACAAGAAAAAATAAAATATAAATAGAGGCTACGGAATAAGTTATTAAACCTTGATATGATGATTATCACGATTACGGAAAATATCAATCAACAGTTTAAATGATAACTCATTATTATCCTTAGTAACAATTAAAGAAGCATTGATTAGTATTTATAACTCAGTTTTTTTTAAATTCCTTATAAGTAGTACATATTAAAGACTGCATCATAAAGATCGTACACATAACCTGAAGGGAAAATGCAACTTTCATAAAATTGATATTTTGATTGAAACCGGTACCACTAGGAGACAGAGTATACTTTCATTAAAATATCTACTGATATTATCAATTATGACATTTATAAATTAAAGTCATAAAATAGTGTACATTCATTATGTAATACTAATTTCGATGGTGAAGTGTTCACTAATATTAAGTACAACGACAATGTAACTTATAAACGATTAATTCCATAGTGTTGGTCAGTCAGTCAGCTACAACGTAGGACCAGGTACATATATGCATCGGTCCAAGTTGCCATACCGCATTAGCACAGCAAGATGAACACCGGATTCATAGGAGTGGTTAGGTCAAAGGTGGTAATATATGGGAGAAAGATTGCATATAAGGATACAGTACAGGAAGAAAAATTTAGCTCATAGAAAGAAAGATATGAAGCGATTTTAATCTCTTACTTTAAGGGAAGACAGAGAGTGTATACACCTACATCGATTCTGAGCCATGTCACCAAGTGTCTCCAACCATCGGTTACGAAAGTCACGCGGACCCCAATCAAGTAGTCTGCATCTACCAACATGGCTCAGACTAGAGGTTAGTGTCTTCAAGCACTGATGCCTCGTTTTGGTTTGGCCGCCCCTAACTATATAGTTGGTTCCCTTATAAGAAGTTAGATACGACCAAAAAATAATAATAATTCAGTCCTCAGCTGACTGAAGCCGTAATCGTATAAGAATGGAACACTCAAATATCCCATAATATGGAGTAATAGACATTGATGATGGAGAATTTCAGAATAACAAAGATTTGCAACAATAATTAGACATATATTTGCAAATAAACAAGTGTGAGATCATTTAAAGGTGAGATTTTAAAAAAAAGAATGATGTCCGGAAACATAATAAAATGAATATTGTGGTAAATTATAGAAGTTGTGAAGAGTTTACATCAGTCTCAGATCACTTGAAAATAGATATGGAAGATTTAGAACAATGACGTGACTGAAGGGTTACATGAAAATTATACAAGATTTGACGAATTAACAAACGTTTAAGGAATTGAGTGAATGACGAGATTAGATAATTTCATGTCCAAATGGGCTTCTAACAAATCTTTATCGTTTAAACGAAGCATCTTCTGTCACTTAGCCAAAGGAATTTTAGCCTTACTGGCCACCTCGCCAAAAAATAGCCCTACTAAGCATATATCAATATACAATACATGACCAAAAAGTTAACGAAAAGATTGCGTTTACAAATTCGTTTTGGTTAAGAAAACAAAAAAGCAATTTTAACTTACATTTCCCAGGTCGAACAAGATTAGCAACGGAGTCTTGTGTACACTTCAATACTTCTTGGATTTGTCGTTTAAAAAAATTTTGTGATTTTTCAATATACATCTAGAAACAATTATAGAAATAGATTGTATGATTTTATATGGACTGTAGTAAAAAATATGGGTCAATGTCACAACTACTATAATTACTACTCATTTATAAAAAGTAGTATGTTTCATTCTACAAATATTATAGGATTGTAGATTTTTCAATTACTTGGAAACAACACACAGTTTGCTGACATCACTTCTGTGCAGTTAGTAATATCACATCTCTCGCGAACACTAAGCCTACTGTTTCAAATCTTAACGCTCCTCATAGATCATTACAATATGTAAACTCGATTATCACATCAAGATAGCAAGCTATGGATTACGTCAACTAGAAGAAAAGATTACTCTTCTTGAGTAAACCACAGTTAATAACATGATATGTTGCAGTGTAGCTGTAAAGATGTATCGGTATCTTATAATACAATTGACATAAAATATTAAAATGTCATGTGTAATCACCAGCATAGCTGAGCAATAGACAACCAGGCAACAAAAAAGGATATTTTAGCAATAATGAAATTAGTGTATATTACAAATTCTTGTAAAAGAAAACAAACACATTATTACCCTTTTAATTCCAATATATAAATCTTTTCTATTAGCTTGTAACCAGTTGCCAACTAATGGAGTTAGTTGAAGTAAGTCAGTTCTTTGAACAGCATATAAATCAGATGCAACACGAAAAGAACTTGTAATCATCATTGATGTTTTCCTATTTCCTCCGCCACCACCGCCAATACCAGATTGATTATTTGATATTGTTGACATTGTATCTGATGAAGGCATACTAATCCCTGTGTTGACAACAAATCCTAATTGACTGGCGTAACGTAACATTGCATCATTTACAAAACCTGATAATTTTGTGGCAAATGAATCACGTAAATTTCTCAATTCTTGCATACGTTCATCTACAGCTTGAAGATGTTCTTCACCTGAACGTTAATAATAAAAATGGAAATGTTACATGACTCTAGATACATAAACCATAATAGTGAATGCAATGAGTGAATATAAACTAAGTAACTATGATCGAAAACTCTTGATTTCGATACCTAACTAATGTAAGGGCACAAAAAGGTTTAAAACTTATTCTATGTAACAATTGATGGTTATAAATAATATTGAAGATTCCCATTGTGAAAATAGAACAAAACATATAAGCGAACAATATTGTCATTAGGCTTAACCCGAATATAAATAAATATTTATATGAAAATATCAAACAAATCAAGGGAATTTATGAGTCAATGATCACAGTGAAATAGATTACGCAACAACACCTAGAAGATATGCATGTAATCTGAAATGGGCTAGATAAAGACGATATACAGCTCTATTTTGGCACATCTGGTTAACAGAAGTCATACGACTGATTTATCACATACTTTTATCATTACCCAATTGGTTTCCACTCTATCTTCTGTATACACCAGAAGACAGTGTTTTGAACTTTGTGACAACCTTATCCCTTCCTTGGTTGCATATGACTTAATAAAATATTATAATTTTTCCCATACCATGTATTTGTTTGTCATTTTTTTATCTCTACTCGTCTATATACTCACACATCTAATGAATCACACGTTGAATGTCACTTACTTACTTACGCCTGTCACTCCAAATGGAGCACAGGCCGCCGACCAGCATTCTCTAACCCACTCTGTCCTGGCATTACTTTCCACATCTAAAGCTTCTCCGTCAAGTGTGATTCGACTGGTGCATGCTGTGTTGTATCGAAGAATCTTGTTTTTACCTTTGTGTATGTTGAGACCTACTGCTGCTGAGGCGGCTGCTACACTGGTCGTCTTCTCCTGCATTTGTTGTTGCGTGTGCGATAGAAGAGCCAGATCATCTGCGAAGTCCAGCTGCATCCTAGCTGTCCACGCGCTGAATGTTACATAATTCAAATGTTGTGTAATTATTATTTTAAAGTCTATTTATCTATGTTTGACCTACTTCCTATGTTGAACTAATGAATAGAACTTTTATTATTATTATCACTACTTTTCACGTATTATGTGTAGTTATGCAATTGTGACTATGGTCTCATGAATTCCCTTGATTAGTTTAATATTTTCATGTAAATATTCATTTATAATATTCGAGTAAAGCCTGATGATGATCTAATTAAAAACAATATTGTTCGCTTAAATGCGTTGTTCAAACACTGATTACGACAATCATGGAGATTTTAATAAAAGTAGTTGACAACAAGTCAATGAATTCACGATATACCATGTCTTGATTTAGCTGGTTCTAGCATTCTGTTATATTGGATGAAAATTTACTCATATTAAAAACTGATTAAATTTGGAAATTCCACAGATTGAAATCATGAGTTAATTGAAGCCAGACCAATGGAGTTCAACCAGGTCTATTGTGAGATATCAGCTCACTGAAGACAATGGTATACGGTAGCGCAACTTCGTGGATTTGTTGAAGTTAGACATTAACACCATTGGATGCCGGCTCAGTGGTCTACTTGGTTAAGCGCTTGACGCGAGACTGATAGGTCCTGGGTCCGAATCTCGCGAGGTGCGGTGATCGTGGATGCGCACTGCTGAGGAGTCTCATACTAGGATGAAATGGCCGTCCAGTGCTTTCAGGTTTTCCATGGTGGTCTAGCTTCAATTGACTCATGATTTCAATCTGTGAAATTTCTAAAATCTCCACAAACCACTTCTGATAAATTTGGAAATTTAAACGGCTTATTAATGAGAATCTGAACTCTATGAAGCTAATCCTGTCGAATAATACAATCGGATGTATACACTTATGAGTAATTTTCCAAGCTAATACGAAACAACTGTCAAGTGTTTTCATCAGTTGATTGATTTAACTATTCTAGAGATAAAATACGTTTATGGTGAGATAACCATTACCATGTACCATATAAGTAAGTTGTTGATAAGTTACACTAATAAAGAAGATATATGACAATCATAAACATAATACAAATTCTGTTTATTTTTTTACATTATCACATGATCAATAATCTAATGTTTATTTCTCTGTATCATAAAATGGATCATCTCAATGATGAAAGTTGTGCACATGGAAAAAGAGATATACATTGTATTGGTAATCGATAATGTGAGTACTTTCTGAGTGCTTAGGTCATATAGATTTATTATATAGAACTAATAGATATTTTATACAACTTACATTTATTTACGTAGTTTTAAATCAAATGATTCAAGTATGTAAGAGCTAGTGATATCATTAACTGGATGACTGAAATTCTAGAAGTGGGTTGATTCTATAGACTTGAGTAACCGATGGTGTGAATTTTTAAGTTGGTAAATATTACACTTAAATTATACAATTTCTAATCGCTTATTGTTTGATGAAGCTTCAATGCAAGTACAAATAGAGCAAGCTGACAGAAACAGACTAGGTGGATCCATGAAAAAATCAAGTGGATCACATACTAAACCTTCACAAAACGAATGAAGTGATCAACTCAATATATTGCATTCAGACAGAGAGAAATACAATTCAAAAAAGACTCTTCCGTTCTCACTCAGTGTTTAACAGACTCCGGATTCTCTCTCTTTATTAAACCTGGGTAGTAATATTTGCAGACAATAAGTCAATTAATAAATTCTTCAATTATGAGATTAGTTTGTGAAGCATTTCGAAGTTTCTGACCCAATTACTACGCGTAGTTACTATTCTGTTTGGTCATACAGACAAAATGACAAAACAATCGATAGGAACGTTATTACACAAACCTTCTTTAAATTCTGAATTCAGCAAACGATCCAAATATCCAGCAGCTTCGATACAACGTGCAATACCATCAGATGTACTTAAATCACCTTTCATTAATACATGGAAGTATTTTGGATCAACATCTAACCGATCAACTAGTTGTTCAAGTACATTTAATAAATTTGCGCGATTATCTACTGTAGTTTGGATTAATTGATCATGATCACGTAGGGTAGACATTGCATCTTCAACTTCCTATATGTGAATGGAATATCATTGATTGAAGAAAAATATGGTTCATCCAAATGGGTATGATAATAATGATAACTATCATAATGATCACAATTGTTAATATCGTCATAACAGTACATAAATACTTACTTGCTCCCGTCACCATTTGTGGAGCATAGGTCGCCGAACAGTAATATTCAACCTACAATAAACTCAGCTTTCCTTTCTAGTTTTTTACAAGTGCTGCTTATTCTTTTGATGTCTGCACCCATTTTTCAGTGCAGTGTGTTCTTTGATCGGTCTCTCGTCCTTTTGCATTCACAATTTTAGGTTGAGGATTGACTCGATGCAGTTTGATGATTGCCGAAGGATGTCCTATTTACCTCCAGCGTCCTTTCTTAGTTTCCTCAACAACTGGAAGCTGCTTTGTTATCTCACGCAGTAAATTTTTACTGATGTCCGGTCAAAAACCATCCATCTCTTCCAGAGCTTCTCTATCGTACACTGGGGTGTACGTGTATCCAGTTGATAAGCCCCAAATGGACATATCTTGGATCCTACTAGGCACCATCCAAATTTTATAAAAAGGTTACACTATGTTTTCTGACGAACATCCCCAGGCAGATAAACAACAAAGAGTATTATGAGTTCATGTCATTTAAATAAGTGACCACATTAGAATTCGATCGACGAAACTGGTTACTACTAAATAATCAAAGAGTAAATCTGTAAACCTCCCAGTCACGACCCGAATATTGTATTGGTAACAACTATGGAAGTCACTTTGGACGGTAAGGTGGTTCTTAGCACAAAATACAAAGTACCAGTGATCTTGAGATTAGAAAGACACACAAATGTTGACTGGAACAAAAGGTAAGAGTTCAAGCCAATCTGTTGATTGCTATCAATCACCCAACATTAATTTTGACTCGAAAAAGTGAAATATACGTAGAATATTGTTAAACATAAGCTTTTTTACAGGGTTTAGCAGTCAATATGCTTTTTCTATCACATATATTAAACTGGAATCAGATTCGCTGTTTATTTGTTGAAACGGAAATTTGATGAAACACAAGCTTAACAACACTACAGGTGGATCTTATGGTGTCGTGGCTCAAAGAACAGATAATGGCGACCGTCTGTTGCAGCTATGCTCAGATAACCGCCTGTTCCTTGCAAATACTAACTTTAAACATAAGGAAAAACATCTTTTAACATGGAGACCCCCTAATTCGTCCCAACGTTGGACCCAAATAGATCACATCGCTATCAGCCACCGATGGAGGGGCTCGATAGAAGACTGTCGCTCATTCTGGAGCACATGCCTAGATTCAGATCATGCTCTAGTGCGAGCGCGTATTTGCTTGCGTCTAATTGAACGTAGGAAAGACGCTGCAAGAAAACCTCTTAGGGGCCTACTTAATGATAGTCAAGCTAAGAGTATATTTCAGGAACAACTAGGAAAACAGTTAGGCAGCCATGTATGTGATGCCCACCCCGATGCAGCATGGAATGATATCCGAAAAGCTGTGGAAACAGCAGTGATATCTGCTAGTAAGGTAAACCAGAAGGTTAGGGAGCAACACTGGATCTCAGCAGCATCTATCTCACTGATAGATGCTCGGAAACTCATTCCACCTGGCTCTGAACATAATGAAGAGCGGAGTCAGCTTAAGCGCAAGCTGACCAGAAGCCTACGCAACGATCGCGAACAGTGGTGGGTGGCGAAAGCAAGAGAGATGGAAAAGGCAGCGGCAATAGGTAATAGCAGATAATTGTTTAGACTCGTTAAGGAAACCGGAATTAGGAACCCGACCGTTAGCGAAACAATCTCAGAGAAAGATGGACATATTATTCATTCTCAATCCAGGAGATTGGATCGATGGGCAGAACACTTTAGGGATCAGTTCAACTGGCCTTCAGCCACACTTCGGTTTCCCACGATCTCTAGTCAACCTGAATGCCAAGTTAATGTAGGTCCTCCGTCCCTTTACGAAGTTGAAAAAGCCATAGGAAATCTGAAACGAGGGAGAGCAGCAGGCCCTGACAGGTTTACTCCTGAGATTTTTAAGGATGGTGGTCCAGTATTAGCAATGAGATTAACCGAGGTCTTAGGTAGAATTTGGGAACTGGACGTAATCCCATCTGACTGGTCTCAATCACTGATTGTGCCAGTCTATAAGAAAGGACAAACGTCCTCTTGTGACAATCACAGAGGAATCAGTTTGACTAATATAGTGTCTAAAATATTAGCTTCAATAATACTTCGACGCCTAATCAAAGCTCGTGAAGAGCAGACTAGAGAAAATCAGGCTGGTTTTCGACCTGGATGTGGTTGTATAGATCAGATATTCACAATACGTCAGGTTCTAGAACACAGACACACATTCAGACGCCCCACAATGGTAGTATTTCTCGACCTTAAGGCGGCATTCGACTCTGTTGAGGTTCTATGGCAGTGTTTGTCACTGAAAGGAGTACCAAAGAAGTACATTAACCTTATAAAGGCTCTCTACTCGAACACAACTGGTAGAGTGAGAGCTTATGGCGAACTGTCATCAGAATTGATTACCTCAAGTGGTGTTCGTCAGGGCTGTCCACTCTCCCCATTCTTGTTCAACTTTGTCGTGGACGTACTTCTAGAGATAACACTTTCCTCATCTAGATTTCCAGGGGTTGATCTTCTACCGGGAGGTTCACTTGTTGACTTAGAATATGCTGATGACATAGTTTTATTTGGTGAAGACGCTGACAAAATGCAGAGTCTTCTGACCACTCTAAGCAACAATGCAAGCATGTTCGGGATGAGATTCTCTCCCTCGAAATGCAAAATGTTGCTTCAGGATTGGGTTACATCGACACCCGAACTAGTGATAGGGAGTGAAGTAGTTGAGTGTGTCGACCGCTTCACTTATCTTGGAAGTCTGATCAGCCCTTGTGGTCTGGTGTGTGACGAAATCTCAGCACGGATACAGAAGGCTCGACTAGCTTTTGCCAACTTGCGTCATTTATGGCGTAGGCGAGATATCCGTCTATCAACCAAAGGACGTGTTTACTGTGCAGCAGTTCGTTCTGTCCTACTTTATGGCAGTGAAACATGGCCGGTAAGAGTAGAGGATATTCGTAGGTTAGTAGTATTCGATCATAGGTGTCTTCGAAACATTGCTCGTATATCATGGGACCATCGATTAAGTAACACAGTTGTTAGAAAACGGGTACTAGGTAAGGATGGCAAATCAATTGATGACGTAGTGAAACTTCATCAGTTGAGATGGCTGGGACACGTGTTACGTATGCCCAACGACCGACTGCCTCGACGTGCTATGTTCAGTGGTATAGGAGTAGGTTGGAAGAAAGCTAGGGGCGGCCAAACCAAAACATGGCACAAGTCCATGAAGTCACTGACAAGTGAACTGAGTCATGTTGGTAGGTGTAGACTACCTGGTTGGGGACCGCGAGATGATAGCAACCGATGGTTAGAGACCCTGAATGACATGGCTCAAAATCGTTTGCAATGGCGCAGGTGCATCCACTCTCTGTGTTCTCTCAAATTCTAATCTTCTGAATTCTTCATGTCCCTTTTTTCCTCTTTCCAAATTTATTTCACTGGATTATACTCTATAAATAACATCTCCAAACCCTAATCTTCCCGATTACTGCCTATACTCTTGCTACCTCTACCACTATGGGATTTGAATCGACAACTGCATCTCTGTGCTAATGTGGTGTGGCAACTCGAACTGATGTACGTACGTACGAAGTTCTACGTTGTTACTGACTGACTGACTGATCTAGAATAAAGTGATTTCAATTATCTTGGAACTCCTTTAATTAATTTCATCCCATTGTGTTTATGTACTACTCTAGATCACTTATGACTAACTGACAGTCTACTGAAGTATAGTGACCACATATACTAAACAACAAAGTTACATATGAGTGAGTTTTATGATCATAAAGAGCGTATTATGGAAGTCAGACTGTTGCGACACTCTAAAATTAACTAAAATTTACCGCGCTGAAATACTTTAGGAACCAATCGGTGTAAATTATAGTTAACAGTGGTCGACATGATAGGCGCTGAGATATTATGTGGCGTAAGGAATGTTCAAGTTACTAGACCCTATTCTAAGACTCGAAAAATATACAAAATCGCTATGAAACAGCTACAAAATGTAACTTTTGTACGTATAGTAACAATAGTAACCTGCTTTTATGAATAGAATTACGTATAATGAATTTGAAAAGTGTATACAGAAAGATATGGGGAAACAATATAGAGTGGTATTATTACCGAATATGCATATTAATCGGAAGTGAGAGGCAAGAGATAAATTTATCTTTTCGTTATATAAACATTTTTTTAGAAAACTGTTGGTCTGGTACTCCAATCCACTTGACTTCAACTACTTTGCACAAATATAGTGAAAAAGTTGTTAAAGTAGACTTTCACAATGGACTAATGATTTTATAGATGGATAAATGAATCTACCTTAATTATTCAAAAAAAACCATTATACTTTTTACTGCAGAATTTTTTGTTGAAATTAGTTCAGTTTGTAAGTAGTATTGGTCATGTATTGACCTAATAAAAAATCTCAAATTCGGACGAAACAGATGTTTAGAGCTCCCTAGTTCTCAGTAGTAACCTCAATGGATGTTAAATTGTGATGAGTACCACTTACAAACTATCCCATTTTCAGGTTACGCAAATGACTGATTTAACAAAAGCGTAAAACACACCTATTTAATTATGTCGCTAGCAGTCATTCAACAACAACGTAGAACTTCGTACGTACATACATCAGTCCGAGTCGTCACACCACATTAGCACAAAGATACAATTTTCAATTCAAATCCCATAATGGTAGAGGCGGCAAGAGTATAAGCAGTAGTCGGAAAGATTAAGGTTTGAAGATGTTATTCAAGGAATGTAATCCAGTGAAATAAATTTGGAAAGAGAAAAGAAAGAGACAAGGAGAAATCAGGAGATTAGAATTAGGGTGAACACAAAGAGTGGATACACCTGTGTCATTACAAACGATTTAGGGTCATGCCATTCAAGGTCTCTAACCATAGGTTGCTATTGTTTCACGATTCCAACCAGGTAGTCTACACCTACCAGACTAAGTCGATATACTAATGTGCTGTAACGGCTTAAGACAATGTACATTAGTAACAGGCTTGCTATATTGATTATGAATGATTGATCTCATCAAGAGTTCTTACAGGATAAAATTGATCTTAACAATACACACAAAAAACACTTAGAAATATACAGAGAAAAGAAAACAATTTCAATTTATCATTTAGAAATATTAATAACAGACCTCTAAAAAACTATAATAAATATTTAATTGTTTCTCTAATAATTCAGCTCGTTCAATAGCACTGTCCAATGTTGTCATAAGACTTAATACTTGAGATTCAGAAGACATAATTGAATGAACATTTGTCTATTAGAAAAGAAAACATATGAACAACATACACAGTGTATAAACAAATGAACAGTTCAGTCATAAATAGTAACAACTAGACAATTAAATCCTTATTATTACCAATAATAACAATAATAATACCAGCAGAGGTAGATGATGGCTAGCAGTGGAAACAAAGACACTCGTTTTATCCTATTTGGAACTTGTCAGTTCGATGTACTTACATCCAAGAGTTGATGTCTACTTAACAGCTCGAACCCAGTAACATCTGCACCCAACACCATCGCGATACCCACTTATCTACTAAGTCCACATATCCACGACCTTGTCTAATAGGGTGAATTTTTATGGGATGTAGATACATCCAGATGATGAGTCCTAAATGAAACGGAAGGCATGTTCTCGATTCCATTATGAACCACCATCTAACTCTGCCCAAAAACACTTGCGATTTGATCGCAATATCGAAGCAATTTGCATAGGATGCACATAAGCTAAAAGAGACTGAATTGTTACAGTACTAAATACAAGTGGGAAGATTAAAACAATCAATACCAATGAGTTATTATTATTATTATTTATTATTGGTAAAAATCAGAAATGAGCCTATCTGACTTTTACTATGCGTAAATTGATCTCATCAATCAATTTAAAAACTAATGACTTTACATAAAACCAGACCAAATACCATCTATATAAATTTTGTGAAAAGCACTATAAATACACACTACAGAGATAGCCAAAATACAATCGTCAATTGATGTTAGATTGTATCGCGAACTTGATTAACTTCATAACAATATACTACTAAATAAATTATTCTTAGAAATAAAAAGGGAAAATCCAAAGACCAAACATAAATCATCTTACACCTTCAATGTGAGCCAACTGTTCTTGTAAACGTTCTGTTAGTTGAGCAGCATTTAAGAGTGTTGATTCCTCATCAAGTTCATCTAGAAATTGTCGTATATCATCTTCTTCACGTTTTGTCAATGAACGGTATGAATCAGTGACCGGTGCATTGACATCCGACTTATCTTTATCAACTGATTTTTCATCACCGCCAACATTATCCTCATCGCCACCGGTACCAACCGTTGACATATATTCAGGATCTAACCAAAATATTTTAGTCACAGAGAAAGGACAAGAATAATTCGTTAAAGTGTTAATTCTAAAACAATTTCTTAGTTTACGTTATGGGTAAGCATTGAAAATTAGGAAATATTGGGCAGCCATTTCATTTTAGTATGAGTCGTCCACGACCATAACAGAGATGAGCACTGCTGAAATGTACCATAACGGGATGAAACAGTTACCCAATCCTTCTTGGTTATATAATTAGGTGTTAACGCGTGATACAAATTCAACAATCTCCGACACTAATGATAAGTATCTAAATCTAAAATTTCTTTTTTATAAGATAGTAGATAATTTGTAAGCAAGATGGTATGTCTTAAGCAAAAATGGATGGTGGTTAGCAGTAGAATCAAGGACGCACGTTTGAGACTCATCAACAAGGATCGACAGCATCTTAGATTTGATGTTCACTTCAGGACTCGAACCCAGCACCGGTAGTATGTTACTCCAGTAACTTAGGATCTTATCAATTGCCGAGATTAAACTATAAAATTCTGTACATTTCACGCATCATTCTAAAGCCTAGCTCTAATACATCAGAGAACAACGGAAATACACATCCTTCTCATCAAAATAATTCCATCTAACTACGAGCTGAATTAGTCTTGACAAAGTTTTGTCGACTGCATCTCATTATAATATATGTATTTCTAACAAACACAGATAGGCGGTTGTTAGAAATGAGGAAAGGACTGAAAATGAAAAAAACTAAGGAGAGCCGTTGTTCGGAAAATCTCTCAGAACATTTTCTGTGTAACTATCAAAAATACGATTCATAATATTTTGACATTAGCTAAGTCGTAAGCTTTCATTTGAACTATTAACTGCTGTGATATCTTTTGCTGTCCTAAATTACAATCGATTAATTGAAAACCTATTAGTAGGCTTTACATCATAAATCCTTTGGTGATGTACATAATGAGAATTATTATCAATGGTATTTCGTGGTCTTGAATTTTACCTCTAGAATTGTCAATCTGAGTCTAAATAAAACAAACCAGACCAAAAACCTGGTAGATTTTCTAGTGTTCTGACAGGTGGTTTGTCAACAAATTGTGAAGTCGAAGGGTGCACGACGTTGACGTTGAGTAGAACGGCCGGTATAGGTAACAAATTGGTTTACTATAATACAAAGATTCATCGAGTGGAACGTTTAAGAGAACTTTGATAACCTATAAGGTTCAATCCTAATTGATATATTTAAGGTAACCTTAATTTATGAAAGTGAAATGTTACATTTTCATATCTGTTTTAATAACACAGTTGCACTCACTTTGTCTAACCTGACGTGACAATTTTAGGATGTTGAAGTAACTAATCGATAGACTGAGCATTCCATACAAAATCCTCAACCTAAATCAGGCAATAAACTTTGATAATCTTATCAAACAGTTGTTCTCTTATTCACAACGGTAAAACTTAGTTATTTCAATCAGTTCATAAGGTGTTAAAAGTGGTAATATCAATAGATAGATAGATAAAAAGTGAATTATAACATTAATTGAATTCTTAAGTCCGGTGACAAAAAATATGACTTTAATAGAATACCATATAACAACCGAAAAACTACTGGACCAGAGAAGTCAGTGATGTCATTAACCTAATATTTCATCCACTTTTAGACAATACATATGCGTTTTTTCAGTGTAACACATTAACAACTACAGATTCCCGTACTCAGCCTTCAGAGATTTTTGTATGTGACGGCTAGTGTGATATTACAGACCTACCCTAACCAAGGTATGAAAAAAAAACGATTGCAGAACTTGTACCCCAAACATTGATATAATTCAAGTGCATAATAAAATATACAACCCATTCTAAAATTATGAGACAAATTAACGAAAAGAAATCATAAACGTTAACTCATTCTGCTTACTAAGCAAAGCATCCAATGTTTCATGTTGGCTAAGTGGAGAAATATTTATATCTTGTGGGAAATTGACTAATTCTATATCTTTGATCACATGTGGTAGAAGTGTTGCAAGCGTACGACAAAATGAACTGACAAAATGTCTTTTTTCTTCTAATTTCAAAGCATTAAATACCCATATCTGAATTAATGGAAATATAGGGAAAATAAGGGAAAATGAATGGAGTCTAGAACAAATGAACATGATAATTTATGTCCACAAAATAATACGACGGTAAAAATTGTTACTTGAAAATATAACTTAATGCACAAACGTATTAACAACCCAGACATGACTCAGCTTCTAGATAGCAGGTATTTCAACTAGACTGAATAGATTATTCTAGTTGTATGACAAAATCCAGTGCATAATTTGCAGTATGTAAAATAAAAAAAAATGTTACTGATACCAATATAAAATTACTGATATGGTCAAACGCACAAAAACCATTACACAATATGGCATTCAATAGTGCTTGAATAATTCCGTGTACTGATGAAAGAAAAAATCATACGTAAATGAAACTTGAACATGTATAAGGGTCTTACTAATAGCGTAATCTCACAAGGAGTACCATTTCATTGCTAAAATTACGCATAAAACCCGGGTTGGTCGCAAATATGAAGGGGGAGAGACGCATCTCAAACATCCTGGCATTGTTGTTCAGTGCTACCAAAAGACTCGGCATTTTACCAGCGCCTTCACCAAACAGGACTATGTCATCTGGGTACTCTGAGTCGATAAGCGGAACTCCTGGGAAGAGATAAATGGCTGAAAATTCAGTCGATGAGGACGTTATTACCAGTAGTGAGTTTGTGATGAGGTTGAACAAAAATAGAGATAGTGGACAGCCTTGTCGGACAACACTTGAGGTTAAAAAACCAGATGACAGTTCGCCATAAGCTCTGACTCGACTGATAGTGTTCAAGGAGAGAGCCCTCACAAGGTTTATGTACATCTGAGGTACATATCCCAATGACAGACACTACCACAGAACCTCTCGGCCGAGTCAAATGCTGTTTGTAGGTCAAGAAAAACTATCATTGTCGGATGCCGATAAGCAGGCCTGTGTTCGAAAACCTGACGAATGGTGAATGTGGTCGATGCAGGCACGACCAGGTCTAAAGCCAGTGTGATTTTCTCGTGTTTGCAGTTCAAGAGTCATGATTAGGAGTCTGATAATTCTTGAGGCCAGTATTTTAGATGCTATATAAGTCAAACTAATCCCTCTATGGTTTCCACAGGATGATTTTGACCCCTTATATATTGGGACAATAAGTGATTGTGACCAGTTAGATGGGATTACGTCCAACTCCCAGATTTTAATCAGCCTAATTGCCAAAACTAGACCACCACACTTGAAGACCTCTGGAGCCAATCAATCTTCCCTTCATCGTTTCAGATTAGCAATAGCTTTTTGAACTTCAGATAGAGTCGGGGGACCTACTTCAATGTTCCATTCACACTGTCTGGGAATGATGGGTAGTTTTAAAGTATCTGAGGGCCAGCTGGACTGCTACTTAAAGTTTCGCCCATTGTTCTAAACGTCTGGGCTGATGTTTATTCAGCTGAATACTTATATTGGTACAAGGGGGGCACCAGATATATATGCGCTGAGCAGATAAGTGTCATCCTATTCCGAGATCGCCTCACACTTCTTAATTCCAGTTTCTTTTATTAGTCCGAAGAGCTGCTTGGTGTTACCTACAGCCGCTGTCTTTTCCATCTCTTTTGCTTTGTCACCCACCACTGCTCACGGTCGTTTCTTAGACTTTTGGTTAACCTAGATCTGATTTGCTTTCGCTTTTCATCGTATTCAGAGTATGATGGGAAAAGTTTACGAGAATCCATCAGTGCAATGGACTAAGTAGAAATCTATCGGCTTTTCGTGACCATTTGGTTTAAATCACTAATAGATGTCGCTGTTGTTTCCACAGGTGTGAATACCGGAATATGTGTAAAAAGATCATAGCTGGATGCTGCACCACCTTAGAAAGATAGTTAGCATGCGACAGCCGAACTTGACCAATGTCACGCGACAAATACGAAAACAGATCTGGTTAAAGTAGAGATGTTCATCCGAGTTCAATTCCATTGGTATCTCAACCGCACCACGGATATCAACCATAAGACCAGTACATGTTACTGAAGAAGCTATCCTAATCGTTCAAAAATCTGATCTGGTCACTGATTTCTGATAGGTTACATCCCCGGTTGCGATCATCCCTCGGATACGCTATTTCAACACAACCCACGATGTTGTTCAAAATATCCGTTTCCCAAACTTCACAGTTATAACTATATTTAGGTATAGAAACAAATCGTGCCTACCAAAATTTGAGTCTAACTACGACAGTAGTTAAGTCACTTGAAAAATGATTTGGGCTGTTGCTTACTAAGTCACGTAGAAACATATAATCTGTTAACTCCCGAGGAACACGGGTTTTGAATTAAGCAGTCATGCTTACCTAGCTTACTAATTGCGAGAGAGGATCGGACAGCAGCCCAAGATAAGGGTTTCTCTGTCGGTGTGATACTCATCGATTTTAGTAAGGCATCTAACGTTATTAAGGCTTAAATAGAAACTCTTTAGCTTTGGGATTACAAGTGCCACAAAAGTGTGCTTAAGAAACTCCTACTGTGACCGAAGACAGGTGAGGGTATGTTGGACACTATATCAATGGGAACTAGTCAAGAGTGATGTATCCTAAGGTATCATCTCAAACTCCCATTCCTTTATACCTCTAAATCAATGAATTACCGAGATTGTTTAGGTACTCTACACTGTTGTTTGCAGATGGTGTTGGAAACTGTAGAAGCTGGATCTTCACGAGAGAACAAGCTGAAGAAATTAGCACAGGCTCACTGTATACATAGTGAGTTTCTACTGATGACTAGGATAAAATACCATGTCAAAAGAAACGTCACGGTTATTTCCAGAATGAAAAAGTCACGTTACGAAGACTAACCTTATTTTCCGTAATGATTTGTAATTCATAGCTAGGTTGAGTTTTTGTATCTCTGCAATCAATTTTTTTCAGATTCTTCGCGTTGCATACTTGCACTTTCTTAATTTCATTTTTATCCGTAATCTTGACGAGATAGACCTGAATGCTCGTAGGCTTCGTTAGTGAAACTAAGATATTGTTAATGATCTGCACTAATTACTTGTAAAAACTAAATGTTTCCGTTTGTGCTTGCTTTGGTGTCCAGATATAACACCAATCGACAAGCCGACACGTTCATTTATAGGATAAAATAATCGTGAGAGTTGATTAGAGTGATTTTCGGACATTGGAGCCGATAAATTCGTGCCGAACAAACTAAGATCTCAGATGTAGCGGATCGCGTCTAGTCGGAAGGAAGTCGAATGCACGACCCAGCAAGTGCACACCATGCGCTTACACTTATTAACAAATGCAATCAAGCGAAACCAGAACTCAATCCAACGCACTACACTATTAACCAGCTTGGCGCTACAAAATATAAAACAAATTTCCGCAAATTTGTCGATAAATTCAAACAAATATTTATTGTTTGATACAATAAATATGCCTTTTTGAATATACTAGATTTTCAAAATTGATTTATTAACAGTCAAAATCTATAACTTTGTTCAAGTTGTAACGCAATTTCATCATCTCAAAATCTCGAAGATGATTGGCCAGTTAAATTTTTTGACCTGCCTATGTTAGATTGATTGTAATGAACTAGTTAGGCTTATTCGTATGCATAAGGCCTTCCCTATCTAGTCTATATAGACTCGTATTGCCATCATAGCTAATCTAAGCTCCCTTTGTTATTGTTTTGACTGGTAAGCGTAGTTTACTATCAATGGTATCTTATGCGCTTATATTTGCTTTTATGCGATGGAGCATCTGATTTCGGATTGAAATTTTTTTCCAGATACATTGGGACTATTAAATAATCATGAATAAGACTAAAGATAAGAATAAACCTAAGGGTCCTATGTCTGCTTATGCCTGTTTTGTACAAGTTATTCGAGAAGAGCACAAAAAGAAGCATCCTGGTGAACAAATTGTATTCAGTGATTTTTCAAAAAAGTGCGCAGAACGATGGAAGGTTAGTAGTCTCTTTTTTTTCTTCTAAATCTTCAACTTTAATCTTACAGTTAATGACGCCAAAAGAGAAGAAACGATTCGAAGATCTAGCTGTTTTGGATAGAGAACGATTCAATCGTGAAATGTGTGATTACGTGCCACCAGATGGTATGAAAAAAGGGAAGAAACGCAAGGGTCCTAAAGACCCCACAGTACCTGCACGAGCCTGGTCTGCTTTCTTTTTCTTCTGTGATGAATTCCGTTCAAAAGTCAGAGAAAGCAATCCGGATTGGAAAGTTGCAGATATTGCTAAAGAACTTGGACGTCAATGGGAAACATGTCAAGATAAAGCAAAGTATGAACTATTAGCTCAAAAAGATAAACAGCGTTATGAAGAGGTAAATTATTCACTTTGGTTCATAAGTATTTTTCTAATTCCTCTGAGTTTATGCCGGTATTGTATCTGTAAAAAATTTTCGTTTCAGGACATGATAAAATATCGGGCGGGGACTTATGTTCCTAGAGAGAAGAAACTTGCAGGTGCTGTGTCAAACTCTGCATCTATCAGGACTTCTGAAGCTCAGAATCCAGATTGTGCTACAGTTACCAGTGCTGGAGGTGATGAAAACGGTGCGGAGTTAGAAGATGAAGATGACGGCGAACCTGATGAGGGTGAGGAAGAGTGAAGATCAGAACATTAGGTTTTTGATAACTCAGTTGTACAGGTTTATTGCATTTATAATGTTCTAATCCCCTTCCAATTCTTACCTAAACTTTGTATACATTGGTTTTATTGTTATTTTTGTATCATTCATAAATTGAATGTACATCATTCATACTTTGACTTTCGTTTATTGTGTGATGTAAGATTCTGATAAACATATATATTATTGTTCATTATTGAGTGTTACTGTATTGTAATTTATAGTAGTACAGTTATATTCACGAGCTCGACTTTTCAACGTTTGAAATAAGGAGACGGCATGTTGTATATTCTTTTTTTTTTCCTGGACTACCGGGTACGTGTGGGTCCTTTTCTAGAGTATCTAGTCTTAAATAAGTTGGTCGTAAACCCGGGCCAATTCTATATTATATCCCGAAAGTTGGCTTAGCAATCGGGAAACCTATACAGCAGGGATCTCTCCTTAACTTGTAAGCTCATCTGCTCTACTATTGTTATTCTTATTTAGATGATTGTAAGAGAGGGCTAAATCAGCCCCAGAACTGTGGTTAATTCGCTAAATAATCTACGATGGAGTGATGTGAATAATCCTGACGCCGGACACTTCAGTACATACGAGTTATAGCACTAAATTTCCCCTAAAGATCTGAACCACTAGATTTCATGTTATCATGTCACCAAAAAGCCATTTCCTGTGTGATAAGCACCATAAATATTTACTGATTACTTTCCTATCAACGAAAAGTCAGTTAATCTTCCCAAAACTCCATGATATAAGAAGGATGAAAATGTCAATCATAACGTAGAACGAAAAGGCTGGGAAGTATGGATGGTAACATTGTCTGGACTTTGGTTAAAGAATATTCATATATGCATAGCTTAGCGGCATTAGCACATCCGAGTTACAGATGAGATGTCACAGTTTGGTAAGTGAATATGTATCCAAAACTCCACGTAGAAAGATCTGTTTAATCTCTGTTATTGGGGTGATCTTTCCCATCAACTGAACATGATGCTTCCTCTACGATACCAGACAATGGATTAGAATACTAAACAGGAAAAAGCGTTATTTACTTTGATATAGTCTCGCAACGTACTTTCACTGAATCTAGTTGAGGAAAAAAAGCTTGTCGGCACAATGTGATGGACCTATCCCAAAGCTTCTTGAAGATCGATGAGTGACTGAAGGCTACAGGTTACTGTGCTAGGTCTGCTAACATTCAAATTTTATGTCGAGATGTATAAAGCCTTTAAACTGATCTGGGACTTAATCATTACAATTAAGTATGTTTCGGCATACACTAAATGCGAAAGTAAGAGTATGAGATTCCAAAACACTTCCCTCTTACAATATCCCAAAAGTCAAAATAAGTTACGATTTTAAGACCACGCTCGCTGGCACTCGGAAGCAGCCATGGGTCTTAGAACACAATTGATTAAGAAGGATATGCACAATGGCAGATCCACGCTAACCACACTATTAATAAAATCCACACTGGAATAATGCGGGAGTTTTAAACCATTATTCGCGAACGAACTCGGATCTTCTGCAGAGTTTAGTGAACTACTACACTTAAGATTTTGAGGTGGTTCATCCAATGTACATAGGATGACTTCATAACACTATCTTAGACGAATCAATTCAAATACTAGGGGATTTCTCATCTTGCACTCAGGGTGATTTCACTTTATAGTCAGACCTAATGAAGCGATACATTCTGCATAGATTATTTCGCCCATTACGTAATCTCACCTTGAATATTTAATATGGTAATTGTCTATCACTTTATATTACCTGATGTTCACTCCATTTAATAGTCACTCAATTATATTAGACCTACACATTAATTCAAGTAATTAGTATATACAACTAATTTCATCATCTGGGAATGTTAAACTTATTTTGCTTACAATTTTAAATTTGGATTTTGACATATAAAGTTAATTCAGACTACATTGATCCTGAGTGCTGTTAGAGAAATGAGGGCAGCTATCACTTCCCGGTTGCCCACACCGTGGGAGGGTCCTTCTAGAGGTACCTGAAAAGGAAATTGGATTAGATATGGTCTTAGTGACCTGAGAGCGTGACCACAGTGCCCAAGGGACAACTGCTTGAGGTCGGTCACACACGACCTTTTTGTAATTTTCGTGTTAGCTCCGTACTCACTGGAACCTTACCCCTGGAGACAGAAATCCGTGGGACAAGACGAGATGTGCATTTTAATGGTCAACCTTTTCTAACACCACTCCTTGTGGCAAGGCAGCACCGCTGCTATGCTGGTTTCCTGAACGAAACACCTTACTACCGTCACACCTCTGTACAGTTAGCAGTACGACTTGGTGTTCTGGCCTTGGGTTTGCTGCTTTTAGTCTTACCGCTCGTCAGCCGACCTGTCTGGCATGGTGAGACTATGAGGAACCATTGTTCCAGCCAATATAGCTCGACTGGACCACCACAATAGGCAAGCCCGACCTCCGTGTCAAGGTAACTGCAACGGTCATGTCTATAATTGGTTTATCTGCATAGAATATAGTTTAGTCTGAGGATATTATTAATCATGAACTAATATGATCTAGAAAATTTTTTAACAATATAAAACTCCAGAATAGCCATTTCTTCCTAATTTAGAACCGCTCATCAGTAATCCATGAGATCGAGATCAAAAGCTATCATTTCTCGAAACGACTGCTTAATGGTTTATTCATTTAGTTTGGAAATACCATAATCATAACCTTCAAGTTCACACGATGATGACTGTGTAGTTGCTCAGTTGGACATTACTGAATTTATCTTTGAAATTTCAATTATTTTGCTTACACAGTTTGTGTGCAACAACATATTTTTAGAATATTCCATGTCTCTTCTTCAGTTGTTAACTCTCTCCAGGGGATTTTAAATTCGGTTTGCTGGTTGTATGTTATCGCTATAAAGTTCTTCATATTTTACACTCTTGTCTTTCTTAATAGCCCAATACGTTTGTCTGCTTTATTGCTCTTAGACTTAGATATTATTCGTTTACACAACGCAAACAAAGGAGTCAGTAATTATAGGAGTTATCTCCAGCAATAACCTTTGTGATAATAATAACTGTTTGAAATCATCAAAATTTGACTGGTTAGACTGAATTTCGACTTCACTATCTACCTCAACATGATGAATCCTATTGTATCTATACATTGCTGCTGAGTACTCAAATAGAATAGAACATTCGTCTAATGATTCGTTCAACAATAAACTTTTCTGGAAAACAGATGATATAATTATGAGTAACCATTTTTGAGAACAATTCTTGCAGGTAAATTTGTCACAAATCTGGAGAGAAACAAATTATTGCTGTTATAACTTATAGGTTTGTGCCCCTACCAATGTATAACGTAATGATACCGCCAATTAGAGAACAGTGAATTATCGACCGAACCAATGACGCATAAAACATATACGAGCAGTCTAGAGTCCTTAGCGATCCTGCTTCCCGCCTAGTCATGCCTGTTATGTCCAGAACACCAATCTCAGCCTCTGTGATATGAATCATGTATTTCAGACATACTAGGTTTATATACAAACTAAACAGACAACGTATCATAAAATAGGAAACAACATTTGTACACGATCTACACAAAGTGACTGTGAATGTGGAAGACTGTAATTAATTGACTGGACATAATTCAAGAATAGTAAATCGTATAATAATAGTTTGTAGGTCGAAATAAAGCTCATAATAAGAGGAACACGAATATGAATAGTTTAG